CACATGCCCGTCCCATCAATCCCACCATTCCCATCATTCCTATCAATCCCATCATTCCCGTCCCATCAATCCCATCCCATCATTCCTATCAATCCCATAAATCCCATCCCATCATTCCCGTCATTCCCATCAATCCCAGCCCATCATTCCCATCATTCCCGTCCCATCATTCCTATCATTCCCGTCATTCCCATCTCTTCAATCCCATAAATCCCATGCCATCCCATCATTCCCATCAATCCCATCCCATCATTCCTATCAATCCCATCATTCCCGTCCCATCAATCCCATCCCATCATTCCTATCAATCCCATCATTCCCGTCCCATCAATCCCATCCCATCATTCCTATCAATCCCATCATTCCCGTCCCATCAATCCCATCCCATCATTCCTATCAATCCCATCATTCCCGTCCCATCAATCCCATCCCATCATTCCTATCAATCCCATCAATCCCATCCCATCATTCCCGTCATTCCCATCAATCCCAGCCCATCATTCCCATCATTCCCGTCCCATCATTCCTATCATTCCCGTCATTCCCATCTCTTCAATCCCATAAATCCCATGCCATCCCATCAATTCCCATCATTCCCATCAATCCCATCCCACCATTCCCATCATTCCCATTAATCCCATCATTCCCATCCCATTCCCACCATTCCCGGGACGGGATCGAGCTCCTCCTCCAGCCCCTTCCATCCCAAACCCCTCCCGGATTCCCTGTTCTGGCTCCTGTGGGATTTTTGGGATCCCAAATCCCCGGGAATGATCCCAAATCCTCTGGGAACAATCCCCAATTCCTGGGAACGACACAAAAATCCCAAGGAATTATCCCAAATCCCTGGGAACAATCCCAAATCCCCGGGAATGACCCTGAATCCCTTGGATGATCCCAAATCCCCCAGGAACGATCCCAAATCCCCGGGAATGATCTGGAATCCCGAGGGACGATCCCAAATCCCCTGGGATGATCCCAAATCCCCCGGGAACGATCCCAAATCCCCCGGGATGATCCCAAATCCCGGTGAACGACCCCAAATCCCCTGGGATGATCCCAAATCCCCCGGGAACGATCCCAAATCCCCCGGGATGATCCCAAATCCCGGTGAACGACCCCAAATCCCCTGGGATGATCCCAAATCCCCCGGGAACGATCCCAAATCCCCCGGGATGATCCCAAATCCCCCAGGAACGATCCCAATTCCCCGGGATGATCCCAAATCCCGAGGAATGACTCCAAATCCCGAGGAACGACCCCGAATCCCCCGGGAACGACCCCAATTCCCCGGGAATGACCCCAAATCCCAAGGAACGATCCCAATCCCCCGGGATGATCCCAATTCCCTGGGAACGACCCCAAATCCCCCGGGAACGATCCCAAATTCCCGGGAACGACCCCAAATCCCGAGGAACGATCCCAAATCCTGAGGAACGACCCCAAATCCCCTGGGATGATCCCAAATTCCCGGGAACGATCCCAAATCCCGAGGAACGACCCCAAATTCCCCGGGATGATCCCCAATCCCCCGGGCACGACCGCAACTCCCG